TTATGGATATAGCACGCAGTATTCATAGCTTCAGCCCAAAAGTGGTAGGGTAACTTCTTAGCATGAATCGTAGCTCTGGAAGATTCTTGAAGGGTTCTGTTTTTACGTTCCACAATCCCATTTTGTTAAAGGAGTAATGGAAGAAGAGAATTCATGGTTGATTCCTCCAGAAGAGCAAAAGTCAGCAAATTTATTGTTCTCAAATTCCTTTCCATGATCACTTTTGATTATAATGACATGACTATCTTTTTCCCTTTGAAGTTTTTGACAGAGATCTTTAAACACTTCAAAAGTTTTTTTCTCTAATAAAATTTATCCATGTGTACCTAGAGAAGTCATCTACAACAACATAGGCATACTTCTTTCCACCAAGACTTTCAACCTGCATAGGCCCCGTCAAGTCCGTGTCAAGAAGTTCTAAAACTTTTGATGTAGTAAGATGTTGGATCTTCTGATGTGACATCTTAGTTTGCTTTCCAATCTGGCAGTCACCACATGCTCTTCCTTCTTCTATCTTGAGCTTAGGAATCCCTCTCACGACTTCTTTAGATATAATTATTTGCATTCCTTTCACATGCAAGTGTCCCAATTTTTGATGCCATAGTTTAAATTCATTTTCTTTGGCCAAAACACATGTTGAGGAGAAGTTCAACTCTTCGGGAACCCATAAGTAACATTTGTCTTTAGATCTGATTTCTTTCATAATAAATTCATTCTTTTCATTACAAACAAGACATTCTTTCTTAGTGGAGTTAACATTGAACCCTTGATCACACAATTGGCTTATACTTATTATGTTAGTTGTTAACCCTTTAACAAGTAACACACCATCAAGCTTGGGGACTCCTGAACATTCCAGCTTGCCAACTCCTTTGATTTCACCTTTGGCTCCATCACCAAAAGTCACATAACTGATGGAATGAGATTTGATATCTGTCAACAGATTCTTGACACTTGTCATGTGTCTAGAACAACCACTATCAAAGTACCTGTCATCTTTGATTGATACTTTGAGAGAGGTATGAGCTACAAAACTAGCAACATTAGACTCGGGAACCCATTGTTTCTTTTTTATTTATTTTATTTTGGGGAATCTAATCAGTTTTGGGAAGAGGAGTAGTTTTAGGATATCCATACAACTTGAAACAGAAAGGCCTTATATGGCCAAGCTTTCCACAGTGATGACATCTCTAGGGTTGAGAATTCTCTCTGGTGTGATTAATTTTTTTTTTGCCATGATGTCCTTTCTTGTCATGATGTTTAGACATTTGATTCGACATCATTGGGTTAGACTTGGCATGAGTGGAATCTAATGAAGGTTCTTCTGAATTTAGTTCCTTTTTCTCATTAAACCCTAGACCACTCTTGTCTCCTATCACTCTTCTTGCTTGAAGAATTTCATCTAATTTGTCAGACCCATTATTCAGCATCTTGAGAGATTTGACCACTCTATCAAGATTTGAATTCAGAGAAGTCACTTCACTTTCCAGATTAGAGATAGTTTTCAAATGCTCTTTTCTTTATGCCTTTAGCTGGGTTATGAGTGCTTTATGTTTATCCCCTTCTAGACACACTTCTGCACTTCTGAGACATAATTCTTTGTATGAAGCAGCTAACTCGTCAAAGGTTAGTTCCCCATCACTAGACTCTTCATCAGAGACATATTTTCCTGTCAATGCTTTAACATACTTGGCAGATTCTTCAAGATCTTTCTCTGAGTCCTCTTCAGACCAAGTAACAAATAGATTCTTCTTTTGTTTCTTAAGATATGTAGGACATCCAGCTCTAATGTGACCAAAGCCTTCACATTCATGACATTGTATTCCCTTCCCTTGAGTAGATTTTTCTCCAGCCCTTTTTCTTCTAAACTCATTTGAATTATCGATGTCAAGTGATATGTTCTTGACATTTGATCTTGGGTTCCTATCTATTCTTTTTATCACTTTGTTAAATTGTCTTCCAAGCATAACTAAGGCATTTGATATTCCTTCATCTGTATCCAGATCACAGTCCTCCTCTTCTTCTTCTTCAGTATTTGATACAAAAGCTATGCTTTTGTTCTTCTTTTCGGATCTTTCATTCATGCTTAATTCAAATGTAATAAGGGATCCAACAAGTTCATCCACTTTTATTTTGTCAATGTCTTGAGCTTATTCTATAACAGTCACTTTCATATCAAATCTCTTGGGAAGAGACCTGAGCATCTTTCTCACCAATTTGTCTTCAGGTATTTTCTCTCCTAAAGCACTGGATGCATTAGAAATCTCAAGAATATTCATATGGAATTTATTAATACTTTCACCATCCTTCATTCTCAAATTCTCAAATTTTGTGGTGAGCAACTGATGTCTTGACATCTTAATTTTGGATGTGCCTTCATGGGTAGATTGAAGAATTCCCCATGCATCTTTAGCTACTTCACATGTGTTCACTAATCTAAAAACGTTCTTGTCAATTCCATTGAATATAGCATTCAAGGATTTAGAATTTCCAAGAGCAATTTCATCTTCTTCTTTAGACCAATCTTCTTCTGGTTTTAACTCGAAAGTAGGTTATCCATTTTCTCCTAATTTGACAGGGTGTTTCCATCCTTTTAAAACAACTTTCTAAGCTCTGCTGCCCAGAGACTTTAAGAAGGCCACCATACATGGTTTCCAATAGTCATAATTACTTCCATCCAGAATGGGTGTTCTGTTCACAAATTCTCCTTCCTTGTCCATAGTACCAGAAATTATCTTCCCTGGATCTCACCCAAATATAGAGAAGGATGCTTGCTCTGATACCAATTGAAATTCTGGTATCAGATATGAGATGTCGAAGGAGATGTCACGGCACAAATATCTGAGGACAAAGTAAAATGCAACAAAAGTAAAAACAGTAAAAACACAAGGGATTATTAACCTAGATCAGTGTACAACAACACCTACTCTAGGGGCTACCAAGCCAGGGACAAGTCCACTAAATAGTATCAGTTCATAGACCCTCAGTAAATAACCAGTTTATAATCTAATCACTTAATCACTACCCGTGCTATATTTCCACCTAAGACACACCTAGGTATGAGATCCTCCTCAAATCCCTTCAATCACTAACAGTGAAGAACAACAGAAATATTATATTTTAAAGACTTCAATCATTCAATACTTAAAAGCTTATGAATGATCCACAATTAACAACTCAAATAACAACTCAAGTATTAAATCAATACTAGAGTGTATGATAATTAAAAGACTTAGACTTCTAAAATAGAAAGAAAGAATTCTTCTTTAAAAGTTGCAGTTCGATGAGTAAGGAAGCAAATCCTTATAAAGGCGCAGCAGTGGGCTTGGGCTGAAAAACAAATATTCCAATCTTTTGAATATTTCCATGAAAACAGGCCAAGATATAATCCATAAGGAGAATTCAAATAGAAAAATATTCCTCCATATTTTTCGCAAGCTATGAGTCACAAATCCTGAATTATGGCGCACATAAAAATAGGAAACAAAAAATTTAAACTGATATGAGTTGCGTTCAGATCAGGAGGCAGATGTCAAGACATCTGCTTTGACATCATTCAAAACAGTTTGCTTCAAATGTCAAAACATTTAGCAAAACATTATCAAAACATTGTTTTACCAAAATTGTTGTCAACAAACACTTACAGTGACTATATACTTGTTGGTTGTACATTCATCAGTGTACATGGGCCTCCCTGTCGCACTCTCAATTTTATCCAGACTTCGAGCACCCCATAGATGAAGAGGAAGCTTTGGTAGCTTGACCCATATAGGTACCATCTGCATCATATCTTTTGTCAAGGAGAAATCAGGTTTCCATTTTGTGATGAACATATGCATGTTCAAAATAGTGCATGGTCCCTTTTAGAAAACTTCATCACGATCTTTGAAAGATTTGAATCTCATGATGAAGAAACCCTCATCATTATAGTATAGGTCAGGCAGTTGGATGAAGTTCCAGAACTTGATCATGAAATGCTTCACAACGTTCATACTCAGATTACCTTAAATCACATACATAATCATTGTTGATTCCCAAAACTTGACCTCGACTTCAAAGTCTCCCTCTTCAATTTGTATTTCCATTTCTCCGTCAACAATTTATGGTGCAATAAATTCAATAGGCATACCATTAGTAGTTACCAGATTGTCTTTGATTACATCCACCCAAAGTTTCTCCTCCCCCAATTTAGGATTTTCGATTTTGGTATTGTTGTTTAACTCTTCATTCTTGATTAGTTCTATTTCAGTCTCCAATATTTCTTCATCGCTTTCAGTCCCCTTGTCGTCATTATTCTCTTTGTTGCTCATTGTGTTTTGTTTGTGAACCCTTGCTGGAATCGACAACGACGACACCTTCTTCAGTTGTCCTCGTCCTCGAGTCATCTTCAAACACAGGAAAAATCACTAATCTACTTCCACTTCCCACCGGTTGATCTAGGACATCTCAATTTTCGATTTACAGTTATAGATGTTTAGAATTTCAATCGCCAAAAAATTGAATCTCCGCCAAAAATCATCCCTAAAATCGCCTTTAGATAGATTTCTTTTAAAATATTCTATCCATTGTTATATGAATCGCATATTTACTTATTCTTTCTACTAATGATTGTTTTGATGTTCTAATTAGGAATAAAAAATAATTAGTTCAAGTCAACTTTGTTATTGGATTATATGTTGAAGACAACAAAGAAAAAACATCATTAGCTGCACTCCATTATAAAATTAGTGTATGATTAAACACTAATAAACCCACAATGTAAAATAAATCAAAACTAAATAGTGGAGCCAGCCTTTTTTATCCAATGGATGTTCATTGATCACCATCATCATAATATATATACAATACCTTAAAAAGAAATTCTTGTGGAACAAACATTTGAACTTTGAAGTAGTGACATAGTAGTAGTACATACTAGTAAATGAAATGAAATATCACACGTGAAAAAGAATGAGATTGTTGAAAAGCCAAAGATCCTGATCACCTCATTGAAGAAGTTTCTAGAAAATGTCAAGAATCTCAAGAATGGAACGGTTACAAAGTGGACAGGAGCCTCTGTTCAGCCACAGCTCCCTAGAACAAACTCTGCAAAAAGTGTGTCCACACGGAATAAACGCCGCGCCTTTATTCCTTCCCATGCACACGCAACACACCGAATTATTCCCCGCCACATCACCAACTTTTACCTCACTCACAGCCTTTTCAGCCACCGTGTCACCGTTTTCCGTCTCCTCTAACAGCCTCATCAACGACACTCTCCACGGTGTTCCCGGAGTCCTACCCCCTCCGATGACGGTAGTTTCCGGCGCCGGTCTTCGGAGTTGCCTCTCCGCCGCCAAGGCCGCCGCAAGATTCATATTACCCGTACTCGAACTGGAATTCAAACTCGAAGCAGTTGGATTCGGTCCAACGCAGACGCTCGGATCCTGAACCGGATCCGTATCCGAAATTTGTTGCTGAGAGTGAGGCAATTGAGGTGAAGCAGAAGAAGAACGAAAGCCCCGTGTTGTTCCACAGCAACCTATCCTGATGAATCCAAACCGTTCCTTAAAGCTACGCCTCCTACGAGGAACTCCACCAACAGCGTCCATTTGTTCGTTTAACAACCCGAGAATCGTTCTTGACTCACCCCGAGATTCCTGCAATAACAAGCCGAGTTGACTCATATCTCTCTCTCTCTCTCAAACGGAGAGGTTATGGAAGTGAAAGGGCATTTAAAAAGGGAAGAAGAAACGAAACGGGTTTTTAGGTGAAAGTGAAGTGAGTTAGGCGAATGGAAATGCGGATTGAATTAATATAGTATATTAGTTGGGATCGTCACGCATTGGAAGATTGAATATTAAAGAAAAGGAAAAAAGACAAAAGGGTAATTGATTGATTGGGTGTGAACTATGAAATGAAATGAAGTGAACAAAGACAAAATGGAAGGAGAAGATCGAGGAACGGTTTACTTTTACACTCTGTGTGTGTGATTTTCTTTATAATAATCGAATTGTTTAGGTAAAGGAGCGTGTATTACAATTACTACCACTTTTTTTTTTTTTTTTACAAATTTATTTGTCTATATTTTTTTTTAAATAGTAACAATACAACTATTAATGCACAAATATCTTTCTCAAACATCAAATGAGCCGAAAGAATTTAATTTGTATGTATTGAAAGTGTAAAAATAAATTATAAAGTTAATAAATTATAAGGGTTAAATTTTAAATATTTTGAATTTTTTTAAATCATATTTAAAATATTTTTTATAAATGATTGTAATTCAGTGATGATGATGTAAAAGAATTTCCACTAAAAATGCATATTAATTAATCTTTAAATAAATAGCTATAAATAAATTTTTTAGTTCATTTTATATATATATATATATATATATATATATATATATATATATATATATATATATATATATATATATATATATATATATATATATATATATATATATATATATATATATATATATGTTGGCTCCTAAATTCGACACCTTTGTTTTGATTGATGTCAGCCATTAAAAGCTGAAAGATGCTTTCGACTGGCTAAGCCTGTCAAAGTGCCCGTCGAAAGATGGCAAAATACTTAGAAGATTTCTTCCAAGGAAGAAGGCTGATAGCCTTCGACGTCGAAGGAGTTTTCGTCGAAGACGTCTCTTGACGAACGTGTTCGATGGTCCAGAGTGGAGCAGTTTGAAATTCAAGTGTTTGGAGGGAAAACGGTTTCCAGCAGTTACTACGTGCAAACGTGCAAGGATCTGGAGCGTCAAGCATGGAGAACGTGCCAAGTGGATTGATCTCGAAGCAGTGTAACTGCCCGACGGTTACTTGGAATGTTTTAGTATAAATAGGAGTAGACGTGTAGTTTCTCGGGGGTGTTCACAATTCTATACATAGTCACTCATTTAGATTCGAGTACCCAGCGTGTGAGAAAGAATTGTTGAGAAATGTATGTGTGAAACACCAATTTTATCAATTAAAGTCATTTACTTTCCCAGAATTTTACTTGCTTTTCTCTTTACATTTCCTGTCGAACCTTTACTTTAAAGCCTTGTTTATTTTACCAAGCCTTTCCTTTATGCAATTTACTTGAAACATTTTATTTAAAGCCTTATCCACCCTAATCAAACTTCAAAATCAACCTATGTCCATAGGATCAATCTGATCGATCCTGCGAGTAACCAAATAAGTAACCATTTGGAGGATCAGCGGGTGTTTACCAAAACCCAAGGTAAACAAATTGGCACGCCCAGTGGGACTGTGTGTTGATTGTTGAAAATAATCTCATCTTTTCGAGTTGTATGTTATTGAGGAGTGGTAGAATATACACTAACGATAACAATACTGCCAGAAGAAGGGAAGAGATGGCGAATCCGCCAAACAATAACGAAATCCCACAAACAAGTGTTGGAGCAACGGTTAGTATGACCGTAAGTGAAGCGACGAACGTTGGTTCGACACCAGCAGCGTCAGTCACAACCACGGGGCCAATAACTTCGTTAACAGGCCCCAGAATACCTTTGGGAACTCCCCCACCAAGGGGAAATATAGGCACAAGGCCTGTGGTTCCCCCAGGATTTATTCCATTCTATGGTATGCCAACTTCTGAAGTGGCAAGCCTGACGAATGTTGCGTCCACTTTTTCAGACCCTTTCGTGAGTGCCTCTTCGCCACTCCAAGGCTCTGGAGTAGGCATGGCGAATAGAAATAGGACCCAACTCTTAGGAGGAACGTCCCAAGTAGCCCATGGCCTTACAAATGCCTCGACAGCAGTCTTGAGGCAACAAATGGACGAAAGCAACCATGATATGGTGCAAATGTTGGCACAAACTTTGAGTACAGTGCTAAACCCTCTAATACAAAACACTACTCAATCGAACCAGCAAGTTACAGCGCAAATGACGCGCTTGGCTGACTTCTTTGGAGTACCCCCACCTATTCGACAGCCCCAAAGGGCGCAAATAAGGGGAAATCAGGGGATATTTGTAGAGGAAGAAACCACCATTAACCAGGCTCAACAGCCTGTCGAACAACCTGTCGAAGAACCTAGGGTAATAGCCCCAGAGGTAAGGTTAGTTAACAGAAACCAAAATGCTGACGAAGTGGTTCAGCATATCCAATACCAAAACATGGGTTTGGAAAACAATCTGGCAACCATGATCGAAAGAATCATGACTCAGAATGGGATGAACATGGGCTTTCGAAGGCCCAACTTTACATCTCCATTGTCAGAATATGTGTTACAAACGGATTTACCTCCTAGATGCAAAGTCCCCAAATTTACTAAGTTCTCTGGGGACACGACAGAATCTACTGTCGAGCATGTGGCGAGATACTTGATCGAAGCAGGAGACATTTCGAATAACGAAAACCTAAGGATCAAGTACTTCCCAAGTTCTTTAACCAAGAACGCTTTTACTTGGTTTACAACTCTCCCCCCCAATTCGATCCACCATTGGACCCAGTTGGAAAGATTGTTCCATGAACAATTCTACATGGGGCAAACCAAGATAAGCCTAAAAGAACTGGCCAGTGTGAAGAGACGTTTCACTGAACCTATAGACGAATATCTGAATAGGTTTAGGTTGCTCAAGGCGAGATGTTTTACACAAGTGCCAGAACATGAGTTGGTCGAAATAGCCGCAGGCGGTTTAGATTATTCCATTAGGAAGAAGCTAGACACCCAGTACCTAAGAGACATGGCCCAACTGGCCGATAGAGTTCGACAGGTCGAACGCCTCAAAGCTGAAAAAGCTAAGGCAACGAAAACTCACAAGAGAGAACGAATAGCGTACGTTGAGATGGATGACGAAGATCTAGAATCCTTCGACGATACTTTAACTGTCGAAGAAGGAGAAGTCGATTTAGCAGAACTAAAACAAGGGCCACCATACTCTTGTAAACAGTTAGTCCCCTCAAATGGGAAAAATCCCATTGGTCCAGACAGGACCAACGATAGGTTCCCAAAAAAGACTTATAGTTTTGACATCACAAAATGTGATGAAATATTCGACTTGCTAGTTAAAGATGGCCAAATGATAGTACCCCCTGGGGTAAAAGTGCCTCCTCTTGATCAAAGAAAGAAGAGAGGTTTTTGCAAATATCATAATTTTTTGGACCATAAAACTTCTCAATGTTTTCTTTTCAGGAATCTTGTGCAAGACGCTATTGAGGAAGGGAGATTAAAGTTTGCTGACAAATCCCCCATGGCTGTTGACTCCAATCCACTGAAGGCTGAAGCCCACTATGCAGAACCCTCTGAGGTGAACATGATAGAGGCAACCAGGATCCAGTCGAAGAAGCCAGGAATTACTATGGTCGAAGTCTCAAAGGACCACATCAACATGCCAATCTTTGGCAGTTTTTCTGGAAATTTATCCAGGAAGACAATTGAAGCTGTCCAGAAAGCGGTCGAGAACCCGAAGGCGAAGACTGCTGAAGCACAAAAAACTGGATCAAAGCCCAGTTCCCACTTGGCCACTGTTCAAGGCCAGACGGAGAATCTGGAGACACAAATGAAGCAGTTAACTCTTGCTACTAAAGATACAATGAATATCAACATGGTCGAGCTTTCTGACCCTAAAGCATCAGAAGAGGCCATAAGGCAAGAGCAGGCTAATAAAACGGCTTTCCCTCGGGAAAACGAAAACTTGGCAGATTTTTTACAAAGATGCCAAAAGAAGAAATCAGAGGTGATGCTGTGTCCAAGATGCAGTTCAATCTTTGATAAAAAAGCTGCTGAGCACATTCAAGGCGTGAGAGCAGCGAACAAGAGAAGGGAGAATGCTGACCTTCGACATGATCCCAGAAGGGGTTCTAATCAAGACAAGAGGCCATTGACTTTTAGGCCTCCAACAAATGTACCAGTAGACACTTGGTACAAAACTTCTGGCCGAAAAAGGCCAAATGAAGAGAAATGGCATTCTTTCGATGTGCCAAGAGGTTCCTCTTTGACTCAAAAGAAAGAGCCTCAAGTTGCTGCACCTAAGGTTGCTCAAGTGTCCAGCAACTACAAGGGTAAAAATCCTATGTCTCGATCCCAATGGAGGAGATATCAAAGGAGACGAAAGGCTGAAAGGGAGGCTGCCAACGAACCTAAGGCAGAAACTAGTTCGAATGTTCCTCAAAGGAAACAAAGGAAGCCTCTTGAGAGAGAGCCAGTTACCAACAGGCTAGTTTGGCCTAACCAGAGCGAAGTCGAAGACGAAGACGATGCTGAGTCCGACGATACTTTGGATATAATGGTGAATATTGTTTCAGTGTTGCCCAGGGAATTCAATCGACAGGTAGAAGTCGAAGCAAGTGACTGGGAGGTGGAACAAGAAATGGCCAAACATAGGCCAGTGTGCTATTTTGTCATGGACAATGGCACTACAGAAGAACAAAATGGCTTCTTCGAGCCACCTACAGAGGCGATGAAGAATCACCTCAAGCCTTTGTTCATAAGGGCTAAGCTCGAAGAGACTACTGTGAATAAAATATTGGTCGACTGTGGGGCAACTATCAATATCATCCCTCATTCTATGCTAAGGAAGATTGGCAAAAGAGATGAGGAAATTAAACCTCACAATATGGTCCTGTCGAACTACGAGGGCGGCATTGGGACCACCATGGGAGTGATCCAGCTAGATATCAAAGTTGGGTCAATCCTTCGACCAACGATGTTCATG